GGAAACTGTCTGACCTCGTAGCCTCGTACCTTTTATATTTAACCAGTCGCTGCTATATGTAATGCACCACTAACAGGGCTAACTGGTATATTAAGCTTTTCCCAAATCCCATAGGAAGAAGGGCAATAACGTCTTTCCCCTTGATAAAATTCACCACATCATCACCATAACATTCTCTTTGTTCCTGCCTTTAAATCCTCTATCTCGGGAATCGTTGCCAACACAGAATATATGGCTTTGTCTACATCCATCTCGACCACTTTGTTTACTGTTGTGCTGTACCACATAAAGGGACTCAGTCATGGCTTCACAGCTCTTTATTGATTGGCCAGTACATGGTCTACAACCTTCGAGGTTCTTGCAAACCGTCTAGTGTATTCCGATTCCTGACCTAGTCGCTGGAGAGAAATGAAATTGAGTGGAGGCACTAGGTGGCGCCAGCCTGGCATTATATCATTGTTCCCTCATCAAAAACATGACTGTAGTGGTTTTAGATGTCATCCATGCATGTTTCAGTAATTTAGCAATCTCTCACAGGGCCCTGGTTAGCTGTAAGAGTTAAATACAAAACTATACACAGCAATTTGACAAACTGGATGCAATGTGCAGTAGTTTCATTAGCAAAATGCATGCTGATTGATAACCTTTTGAAGGGGGAGTGATTTAGACTTAAAAGAGGACTGGGCATCAAAAACAAAAATGAAACTAGAATGTTGTTTTTGGTGAATATAACATTTTCAAAACTATACCCAGTGATTTAAATATGATATGTGTTAGCAGTTATTACCCCATGGAAGTAAAATACCTCCTCTTTAAGCATTTTATTATCACTCTCTCACTGCCCAGACTATAACAGAGTGATTTTAAGTCTCATTTGTTTTCTATCTGCTGGCATCTCTACGGCAACGCTCTGTGTTTTAGGGCCATTTAAATGTATGAAACTCAAGAGGGAGAAGTGGGCTTGTTTTGGGCTTCTGGGTCTTGCACAGCCTATAAAGCAGGCAATTCGACAAGAACATAATGACTGCCAGGCCATATGGGTTCAGCCTACAGGAAGTGAAAGGCAAAGACTCCATTTTAGGCCAGATAAATGCGATGGGGTTTCACACAGGCTCTTATGTAGCAGGGATCGGGTTGCAGTGGAGAGCCAGGACCCTTAAGCAGCATGGACGAGTGGGTTGTATAGTTATTAGTAGTTTCATCTGTTCAGTGAAATTAAATGGACTGTACCAGATTTTTTCTATGTAATAAAGTTAAATTTCTTTTGAAAAGATAGCATATAGTATATCTTAAAACCGCTCTTTTGGGTGAAACTGGGACCACTGTGGGCTGTCTTCATCTAATTATAAAACAGATGAGATGAGAACGTAGAAGTACCGTTGGTGCACTGTTGATATATAATAGTTGTTGTAGGCAGTGACATCATGGCAAAACTTTGGTCTCTGAAAGTTGTGAAATGTGTTTATAAACTCATCAGATTGAATAATAAGCTACAATGCATTAGGAAAGTGAGGAATAACTTTAATCTTGCACAGAAAGATGGACCATCACGATTTTTGAGTGTTCATAAACTCACAGAATCCATCTGGGTGTGTATCTGTATGACATGGCCTGGCAGGTGGTGACCTATCAGAGCAGTATTGGAGTTTGTGCGAAAGCCAAAGGCCATGCGCCCAAATGAACCAAAACATGACGACGCCAACAAACAGTTAAAAATGAACTAGTTCTGTTTTTCACATTTTTAAGACAGTAAAATTAGGTGCAGTACTTGTTTTTTCAGGAGAAATTGTGTTTTTGTTTCACATAACACTTTGCACTTGTGTTATATTATTATTTGGAAGTAACCACCTCTTTGCTTGACTATGAGATTTGGCTTCTCTTTTTATTGAGTAGTATTCTCCAAACTTTTTTTTCTGGGGTCCTTATTTTAAAAGTCACAAACCTTCGCAACCCAAGTCAATAGACATTATTTGTAAATCACAAAATAAAGGTGGATTTGATTATTATTGATCATTAATGAGGATATTTTATTGTTGACTGAGTGATCGTGTCTCTCTGAACAACTGGTATTACTCAAGTTTTAAACAATGAAAAACAGTAATAAAAGGATTCATAAGTTGCCTATTTGGACATTAAATGTAGCCCATTTCTTTTTCTTTTCATTCAACTGAACCAGCAATACTGGAACAAAATATTCACTCTCTCTCTCATGTGTCAGAACTGTGTATTGCAGATTGCAGACCGTCCATGCAGATCGTGACAAGACGACCCCAAAAAAAATCTCTTGCAACCCACCTGAGGGTCGTGACCCAGTCTTTGGGAAACAATGTTATTGAGTATATAGCCTATAGCCAATAGTCTGTAAGTCTATATTCTTAAGTGCCTCCTAAGTAGAGGCAGTATACATGAATAATAAAATAAGCTTTGTGTTGGTTTGTACCTTACTTTTCAATATATTATTCTATATGCCATCATCCATGCATTCCCCACTATCTGCAGGCTATATTATTTTGTTTTAATTGTGTCAGCCCCAGTTACTTCTAAGCCTTTTACATTACGTTACATATACAGTAACTCTTTTTATACTTGACTTTTTGGGGGGTTTTTTTGCTATCCATTTTGAGTTTGAGGAGCTAGTACTAATTCATTATCTAAGTGTATCAAAATCCCTCAGCTTCTGTACTTGGTTTTGAACTAAGATAGCTGTTATTATGTTCAAGAGACAGTCAAACTTTGCTCAAGTCTGAAATGTAATTTTCTGTTCTCAGATCAATAATAATTGATTTTGGCATAAAGTTCCAGAAGCTGTCTCATTTGAACTTGTGCTGTCCATTGACTGGGCTTAAGGGAGTTTTTGTATACCCGTTCTGTATTGTTCTGTTCAATCTACAACACTGAACAGAATGTGGTAGCCCGTGATGTGTGCAATTTCCAAATATTGACTGTTACTGAATAATAAAATTCAATTTGTTCATTTCAAGGTTCTAAATTAGACAAAATTGACTTGTACACTTTAAGCCATGTTAGAATGTTGTTACCTCATCAAAAACATACTAGAGATGTGTTTTGTTTCATTCATGCATGTTTGAGTAATCCATATTATTAGTCTGTCTCCAAAACTCAAAATGCTCTGTTCCACCTTGTGATGTCATGAAGCACTAGCTTTCATGTTAACAGATACCTGTAACCTTTTGTTCAGCAGAGAAATTTCAGGGCTTAAATCTTCCAAATGATTTCAGTGAAGTTGTATGGAGTTTAAAAGCACAGTGGAGCACTTCCTGTATTACCACATGGCATCACAAGGTGAAACAGAGTGTTTTCTGTTTGAGAGAAGAACTCAGCCTAAATATTCAGGATTTGTGTGTTAAACATGTGAATGAAACAAAACACAGCTCCAGGTATGTTTGATGAGGAAACAACATTATAACTTAGATCAGAAAATTGCGTAACAATGTGTCTAGTGGCCATCAGTATCTTCTACATAAACATTGGACGCTTACACTTACAAATGGTCCATTGTGAAGCAGTGCTGGTTTGAGAGGAGCAGGCATGTTGGTGAGGGAGAGATGGGGGATGCCGTGCACAACGAGATTTTCAGAGTTGAGTAATTGCAGCGTAGATGAGTCTCCTCCTGTGTGCGGCTCAGGCTTGCTAAATGGGCCTTCTTCTTGACTGTGATTGCGTCGGAAAATTGTTGCGAGTTTGTGCCATGTTTGTGGGTTTGCTTTCTGTCATGCTACTTCAGCCGTGGTTGTAAACAGCTGTGGAGTTGGTAAGCGGTGGCTAGCCTAGAGGGTAAAGCAGTAAGAGTGGATTAACTTCAGAAAACATGGCACATATGAAAACTGTATAAAGATTTGGGGAGGAGGCTGTTTCAGCACCCTCTCTCACTCTCTCTCTTTTTGGGAACTGAAAAATAACTTTATGAATAACTTTCAGCTTCTTGTTGAAATAAAATTGTGTTTTTAAGCTCCATACACCTTCACTAGAATCATTTGAATGATTTCAGCCCTGGAATTGTCTATCTGAAGCCAGGCTAGCGCCACCTAGTGCCTCCGCTCAATTTCATTTCTCTCCAGCGACTAGGTTAGGAATCGAAATACACTAAATGGAATTGCGAGTTCGGGCACCAGCCAATCAGCGAAGAGCCATACATTCTGTGTTGGCAATGATTCCCGAGATCAAGGATTTAAAGCCGGAACAAAAAAAATGTTTGGTGAATTTTGTCAAGACGTTATTGCCCTTGTTTCTATGGGATTTGGGAAAAGCTTAATATACCAGTTAGCCACGTTAGTGGCGCATTACATGTGTCAAATAGCAGTGATAAAAAAAGTACCCACCTACCATCGAATGAACGAATCCCAATGCTGCGAGGTCAGACGGTTTCCATGAAGTGAAACCAGCTGATGGATCAGGCTAGTCTGTAGCTGTTTATTTCTTCTTTTGCTTCAATCAATCAATAAAACTTTACTTATAGAGCGCTTTTCATACAAAAATGATACACAAAGCGCTTATGCAACACAAAGTGCTTCATGACATCACACAGTGGAACAGAGCATTTTGAGCTAAACAGACTTGTATACAAGGTTTACTCAACATTCACATGAAACAAAACACAACTCCAGGTCTGTTTATGATGAGGAAACATTTTAACATGACTTTAAGCTCACAAGAATCCTTCTAGCATAATATAAGAGCTTGAAGTCCTTCATCATAATCATATGGAGATGTCTTTTGTGCTCTTTTGAACCTCTTTTATTTTCTTATTACAATAAACAACAGTTAAATGTTGGATAACTGTTTTGGGACTTTGAGAAAGAAAGAAAAATGATTGGGTACATGTCCTTGGATTTAGAGAGAGCCATTTTGAGTTATTGCCAAATGGCCAGGCAATCCACAGCTTGGCGATGAGCACCTGGCGATTCTGGTTATTTCAGCTATTATAAAAGGTTGTAACTACTCCAAGCATTCACTATTGTACTTTCTTTCTCTCCACAGCCATGGGAGTGCTCATGTCCAAGAAGCAGCAGGTGGAGAAGGTACAGAAATGCAACGCCGTGGTCTCCGCCTTCCAAGCAGGCATCAAGGACCGCCCACCTGCACCCAAACCGACAGAGGCACCAGAAGAGGGCGACAAAACCCAACAGACTCAAGCTAACAACTCGGGAGAGGAGAAGAAGACGGAGGAGCATGCGGAGCAGCAGGAGGCGGACCAGAGCGCGGCACCATCCACGTCTCAGCAGTGCTCACTTCCTGGTCGGGAGGAGTGCAAAGTCAACCAGGAGGCGTGGTCAAGGCTACGGGACGGAAAGGGGGTGGAGCCAGAGGATTTGGACAAGAGCCATCAGCTGACACCGCCGGCGTTCGTGAGGCCCAAGAGAGAAGCGGACGATGATCAGCCCGTGGAGATCGAGCTGGGGATAAGAGAACAGGTTTGGGACAGTTTTACAAATGCTATATATAAGCAAAAATATTATCCCAATATCAACTTTTTAAGAGATTTCAACCATGTTTCAACCATGTTTCCACTCACCATTTCACACTCTCAAAGTTATAATTGGTTCATTAATCCATCCTTAAACTACATAACACTATGCATGATGTAACTTTTTGGATGGAGGTCCGTCACCTTATTCGACATGTCATTGCTCTGTTTAAAATATTCCACAATTTGACTATAAGCAATTCAATCACAGGTGGTTTTATCGCTCAAAAATATCTAGAAAAACATGCATTCTGACTGTGAGGTTGCCTCTTCACAGATCTGACCTGTAACTTGGCCTGGTTTGGTCTCCTTGATGAGAGAAAGGTTTAATGTCATACTGTGAAACATGGTGGTCATACCGTCAAAGCCTGATCCCGTCAGATCTCAGAAGCTAAGCAGGGCCGGGTCTGGTTTGTACTTGGGAGACCACTGGGAAAATCAGGTGCCACAGGGGGGCGCCAGTGGCAAAAATTGTTGTTGTGTCCTTAGACAAGACACTTCACTCACCTTGCCTAGTATGAAAGTGGTGTGTGCATGAGTGATGGTGGTGGTCGGAGGGACCAATGGCGCAGATTGGCAGTCTTGCTTCCGTCAGTCTGCCCCAGAGCAGCTGTGGCTACATTAGTAGCTTAGTAGCTGAGTGTTGAGTGAATGAATGATGAACTGTAAAGCGCTTTGGGTATCTTGAAAGGTGCTATATAAATGCAATGATTAATTAATTCCAGACAAAGCAATAACATCTCTGAGGAGAAAAGCAGGTGGTGGACCCTCAACCAGAAAAGTTAAACAATGCACCTTTAAAGTGGTCTTGGTCAGGACTAGCTCAGATGGAAGATTTTATCTATGGTGATTTTTCCACTCAGTAATGCTTTAGTTTCCCCACATTATGTAATTTTTTTGTACTGGGGACATTCTTTTCATTAAGCAGACCTATTGGGTAAAATTAACATTTCAGAGCTTTTAACCATGCTATAGCTGCTGCCCTTCTCATTTACCCTCTTTGTTATATAATAAGTTGTATTTGGAGTGATTTGTGCATTTAAGAAATCTTTAATCACTTATTTTCAAGAAGCTACTATACTGCCAATCAGCCCCTGTTTTCGCCTGCATCCACCCACTGTTCTGTACTTCATTCTCCAGTTTTATTTTCTTAATCAATGATATGTGTAGGATTTGGTACATAGTGTAGTCATTTTTGTACAAATGAAAAAAAAATCTACTACTTGCTAGTGTGATCCATTTGCCGATTTGTTGTTGTGATGATGTTTACGGCGTCATTAGCTCCCACAGTTTCATATGCGGAAGTCAGCTGGCTTGTTTCTTGTCACTTTGAATGAATATTGCAATTTAAAATGCGCAAATTATAACATAATGATCCACGGGCGTCATAGATTATAACTATAGCATGCTCAAGCACAATATGTGTCCAAATTGCCAGTAGTTGCCAGCCAGTTTTTGTACAATATAGTATTTTTCCTGAAGAGTTTTTTTTTTTGTATAAATAACCCTAAACCTCATTTAGCATATTGAGTCTTGAACATTGGTTAATCTGTGGCTGACATTTGCGAGCATCTTTTCCCATGCTGGAGACTTGGTGTAATGATTAGACAGTGCAGCTCAAATCCCTGTGTATAGTGTAGGGGCTTACCACCTCCTCAGCTCACCACTGTCTTTCAAGTGTGTTCCAGAACCACATATGGAACAGCACCATGCACACGGCTCCACTAAGCTTCTGTCACTCAATGCAAAACACACAGCATCATTTTAAAGTCCTATATTATGATTTATACACATTTAAAATAGATTTTTTGTAAATAATACTAGAATAATAATCATAACTTTGGTCTTTCGAATTTATTTAAAGGGCCAATATTCTGCAATTTTCTGATCTATGTTATAAAGTTCAATCAGAAAACATACAGAGTCGTGTTTTGTTTCATTCACACATGTTGAACACACAAACCCTGCACATTTTGGCTGAGTTCTTCACTCAGACAACTCCTCAACCTTGTGATGTCTTGTGGTAATACAGGAAGTGCTCCACGTCATACAGTTTCACCAGAATCATTTGGATAATTTCAGGCCTGTAATTGCCAATCTCTGCTGAACTAAAGGTAAAACTACCACTACATGACATCACAAGGTGGAACAGAGTATTTTGAGAGGCAGACTAATAATAAAGGGTTACTCAGTGAAACAACACACAACTCCAGGTATGTTTTTGAGGAGGTAGCAACATGGCTTAAAACTAAAAATATAGGACCTTTAAAGAAGGAGTAATACACTTATATAGGGTATTAACTGCTACTACATTACATATTTAGATCATGTTTAGAACATGTTTAACAAGTTTCAGTTTAGGTTTTGATGGTCTGAATCACAAGCCTGATTCATCAGCCAGTTTCACTTCGTGGAAACCATCTGACCTTGCAGCATTATAATTTGTTTGCTCATTGGTAGGCGGGTACTTTCTTAAATTTAACCAATTGCTGCTATTTGGTCATGACATATGTAATGTGCTGCAACTGGGGCTAACTGTCATATTAAGCTTTTCCCCTTGATAAAATTCACCACACATTCTCTTTGTTCCAACTTTAAATCCTTGATCTCAGGAATCGTTGCCAACACAGAATGTATGGCTCTTCGCTGATTGGCTGGTGCCTGGACTCGCTCTTACAGGGTTCTTGAAAACCATCTAGTGTATTCTGATTTTTGACCTAGTCGCTGGAGAGAAATTAAATTGAGTGAAGGCACTAGGTGGCACCAGCCTGGCTACTGTGTCACTCCCCTTTTATTGCAATTGATGTGCATTACACAAATGAAACTTCTGCAGGTGAGAGATCACTAAATTACTTAAACATGCATGGATGACTTGAGGCATATTTTTGATTGGAGACTGTCATAACCTGGTAGAAAGGACCAAAAAGTATAATACCCCCTCTTTAAAGGATAAATGTTAACTTTTATGAGCTTTCAACCATGTTATATATTGTCTGGTTGCCAAGGTGAAATGCCACTGTGAAGAGGCGTTTGCAAATTAATTATGAGCAGAATAATTACTTGAGTGAAAGCGTGTTTTTGTGTTTACCATGCCTTGTTTTAGGCATGGTAAACACAAAATGGTTAAAGAGGCACTATATGTGTGTGTAATCCTTGTGCTGGATTTGCCATGATTGTTTCCATGGAGATGTTATTCCTTTGCATGTACTGTTACATGATCATTAGACACAGCTTCATGGAAACAAGCAGGTGACGCTATATGGAAGATAATTTGTTCCATCAGATTTTGAATTTTAAATACCGTTGAATTTCTCTCTTTGAATTGTTTTAATCTGAAAAAAGAATTGAACTATTTTTATTCTGAATTTTCGTTACTGAAATTTTAAGTATACTTTTTCCAATATATTTCAAATGCAAAATAAAAATGTCACCTTTTAAACATTCAGCACAGATATTTTCAAGCCCTCAAATTCAAAGTGTGTAAAATTCTCACAGTAAAGATCCAAGATGCCAAGGCAGAAGCAAACGATCCGCTGTGCATGAGGAGGACAGAGGCTGTTTCCTCTTGGCCGTCCTCACATGTGGGTGGAGTTTACACTTAAGAAATAAAAGAGATGAGGTGTTGATAAGGCTAGTTCTGACCAATCAGATCAATTCGCTGCACCATTTCCTGCTTGTTACTAAGTTAGATTGGACAACTTTGGATCGATTGCCTCTGCCTTGGCATCTTGGATCTTTCCTGCTAATTTTTTTCACTGCGATTTTACCCTGCTTTCAATTATCCTTCTGAGTCAGTTTTCCGAGGAAGTTCCCTAGCAACATGCCCCTTTTCCTGGGACAGCGTGACTCAGACCTCGGTGGCAGAAAAAGTAGACCGAGCATGTATTCCGAGTCAGAAGCCAAATGGCTCCGCCCACTGTGATGTGTAAATATGAAGTGTTTCCATTATGTTTGGACACTTTGGTGGTTTAAATGACAATTTCAGCCACTCGTATTACTGTAATACTTTACCGCGTCCGTATCACTGCCTATGGGTCTGGTAGTGGTGGTTGTGGTGAGGCTACATGCTCCGAGAACATAATAATGCGCTTTAAGCTCGGATGTGACGTCAAATCCGAGGTCCAAGTGGGAGTCGGAAGAAAATCGAATGCAGGGTTACACTCTGAATTTTGACTGTTAAGTTTGACGACTTGAAAATATTTGTGCTGAATATTTAAAAGGTGATTTTTTTATTTAGAATTTTAAACACTTGAAAATGTACACTCAAAACTTCAGCAACTAAAATTCTGAATAAAAATAATTCAAACTGTTTTTTTTCAGAGTTAAAACATTCAATGTGAGAAATTCAACGGCACTTAGTTTTGACCTGTAACTGTTATTAAATATGCTATATACTGTATTTTCCGCACTATAGAGCACTCTGGATTATAAGGCGCACTGTCATTGAATGCTCTATTTTCTAACTTTTTTTTACATATAAACCACACTGGACTGTAAGGCGCAATAAACAAATGCAGATATGCAGATAAGTCAGTCAAACTTTATTTAACGTGTTCACAATAACTCTCAACTTTGTTTAATTGTAATGCAAAAAAAATACTGTCTGAGACGCTAAATTTTTTGTGTATTCACAATAACTCATAATTGTTCAAACAGTTGGGCGATTACGGCGTCCAGCACGCCCTCATCCCTCTCGTCATTATCCGAATCAGTGTGGTTACTGTTCCCTGGCAGTTCAGTGATGATTCCGGTCTTGGTGAAAGCTCGGACCACAGTTGATACTGATCCTTAGCTCAGGCGTCCACAATCCATTGGCAGATCATGGCGTAAGTCGCTCGGCGCTGTCTCTCTGTCTTGGTGAATGTGTGTTCGCCTTCTCTCATCCACTGCTCCCACACAGTTCGCACTTTCACTTTATAATAGCCTTGAGTTAAAAGTTGGCGTTGT